TCCACCAATCCTGATGCCACAATTCTCCTCATAGAGCCCAGCTTCTCAGATAATCTGCTCTGCATACATGTTGAAAAGTTATGATATAGGTATATGTGTATACACACATACATATACATAGATACATATACATATATATATATACACATACATATATATTTATATATACTGCATTGGGAAAATATGCTTCCAAGGACGTGTCATAATGAGCAATGATGTCACTCTCAAGACGTAGGTGTGTCTGATTCAGGCCATAATCTTCTCATTTGCTTGCTATGTATCCATAAGCTGGACAATGACTAAGGATCACAGAAGAAGACTTGATGCCTTTGAGTTGTGGTGTTGGAGAAGAGCATTGAACATCCCAGGACTGCCAAGAGAACACATAGGTCTGTCCTAAAGAAAGTGAAACCAGAGTGCTCCTTGGAAGCAAGGATAGTGAAACTCTATCTCACATACTTTGCACATGTTGTCAGTCTTTAGAGACAGACACCAGGCTTGGAAGGTAGGTCAGTGCAAGAGAGGAAGACCCTCAATGAGATAGTCTGTTACATAACTGCAGCAATGGGGTTGGGTGTGTTGGAGATGGTGTCATCAGAAATTGGAGCCAGTGGGATATCTATCTGTGTTTCACTGACTATGCAAAGGCATTTGATTGTGTGGATCACAACAAATTGTAGCTAATCTTGAGAATAATGGGAATCTGATTCGACAGCAGCTAACAACAATCACAGCAATAGATAATGAATACATCCTATTTTGACTTACATGTATATGTCTACGGTCACTGAGTCTTTGTGAATTTGACTATTTAACTATGCTTGGTATGTTTTCTGCTGGGATCCATGGCCCCAGGACTCTTAGTCAGCTTCATGTTCATGGATAACCTGATTATTCCTGCAATCCAACACTCAGGCCAGCATAGAAACATACAAGCAGAGAGGCAGAAATTCACAAGCCAATCAAGTTAATAAATTACTGTTTTTCCGTGCAGCAGAATTTGAACAGACTCATAGTAAACCCTCCAGTGGGTTTTCCAAGGCTATAAATCCCTCCTGAGAAGACTGCAGATTTTTCTCCACAGATCAGCCAGTGTATTCTAACTGCCTTAAATGTCTTGATCCACAATTCCTAACAAGAGATGCAAAAATGCCTGAAAAGTGTAATGTTACAGGGAAAGAAAACTCTTACAGATATTGAAAAAGATGTAATTCACCCGGAGGCAGTCTTAATCAATTGAAGTTGGTGTCATCCAGCACTATAACTCACCATGCAAGCGACTCCCTTCCTCGACTCCCTTCCTCAACTCCGGGTTCAGCAGCTGTCTGGGCCCTGCCCTGATCCAACTCAGGGCAGAGCAGTGCCTCTCACAGACCCCAGCGCCTCCTGCCTCTGTCCTCTCCACCTCTCTCCAAAGGCCCAGATGAGTGTATGACAAATGAACATTCCGTGTGTTGGACGACACAAATCCAGGGACACAACACTGTCTGGATGCCGAAGTTCCCTCAATCTATAAAATGAAGTTTGCAGCTTCCAGTCTTTGATTCTTAGTCTGACATAATCTAAGATGTTGTGAATTGGTTGAATTCTAAAACAACTATTATATGTGGGTAACACACTCCTAAAGAGTTTTAAAGGAAGCTCTGGTGGCCTAATTTGTAAGAATTTGAGTTGCTAATTCAAAGGCGTGCCTTTCCTGAGGTTCTAAACCACCAGCCCCTCTGCTGAAAAAAGATGGGCAATCTGTGCAATTTAGTCTCCGAGAGCCGCTGGAGGGTCAGCTACACGTCCTGGCTCAATGCCATGAGTTTTTGAGCAAAGGGGTGGAAGTGAGCCCTCGTGGCTAAGTGTGTTTTTCGCGTTGTATTGTTATCCTAAAGGTCAGTGTTTGAAAGCCAGCTCCATGGGAGAAATACGGGAAATTTCCTCCTTGAGAAATTGACAGGAACTCTGGTAGTTGAGTTCACAAGGAGTAGCCCTGCGAACTCAAAGACCATGCTTCTCTGCCACGTGGAATCCACTTGCAGTTTAATGGGAGGAAGACAATCTCCTCCAGTACTGTTTACAGCGTTGGAAACACGCTGGGCTTTAAAGAGCCCCATAGTATAACCAAAAGGTTGTCGGTTTGAATCCAACTATTGGAGAAATAGGAGACCGTCTGCTCCTATTAAGACTTACAAGTGTCAGAAACCAATAGTGTCTTCAGGAGTCAGAGTCACTGGAGTGCAGAGAATTTAGTTCTAAAAGAACCAAATGTGCAATAAAACTAAATGTGACAATAAAACACGTGAAACGGTCAGCAAGGCGCTTGCACAGAAGTGAGCCTGCGCATGGCTGTTTCTTCTGGAGGCCCTGGGTCCAGGGGGATGTGGGTCTCCGGGGAGAGGGGCGCAGCCTGGGCCCCCGCCCCGCCCACGTGAGGCCGCGGCCCGTCGAATGACTCGGTGCAACGTGTTGGTGGCGGCTGCGGAGCGGGCTCTTCCGGGCGCCACAGCTTCCTGCCAAGCACCGCGCAGCCGCCGCCGCGGGAGTCCCGGCTGCAGGC